TGTTTCATCCATTATTCTATTCCTCAACAGAAATATATATAAGTATGTGATTTTCTTGGTACCTATTAGGAAACATCATACTATCTTAAGTTTATTTATTTTTAAACAGACTAGTAAAAAACAAAAACCTACAACAAAGCCAAAGTAGGACTGTATATATCTTAAACCAGAAAAATGTGAACATACATAATGAAAATTTTTTTTGATAGTGTGTTCTTTAAAGCTTTCTAATACGTATATTTCCAGGGTTACCTTGAAGAATTGGTACGACTCAGAGAAAACCAGCTATCTGAATCTGTCTCACAGAATAAACTGCTGTTACAAAGAATTGAAGATATGGATCTAGCCCATAAAATGGAGAAGGAACAGCTGGAATATATCATTGTGGAACTGCAAGACCAGTTGTAAGTTAGTATAATGGAGAAATGTTGTTAGAGCAGTATTGCTTACATTATTTAACTTATTTAACTGTACAACGCAAAGAACTTCTGGTCCTGTGGAAATGAGTCAAACTTCTTAAAGAAATTGATGTACTTTAGCTTTTTTCTTTTCCTGCCAAGTCTTATATTCAGAAATGGCTCCCCTGAAAACGGCAGTAATGTAAGACAGAGTAATTCTAAGATTAATTTTTTTTTTAGATCTGAAATATCTTACAGTAAACTTGCTTAAACTTTTAACGCATTTTTATAAAATGTTCTTTAGATTTTATTACTTCCAGCTTTAAGGCTACCCTTATAAAAAATATATTGGAAGCAGCTTCCTTTTGAACACTATTTTTAAAATGTTAGGCAGGAGAGGATAAAGAAATATTTATTTTCTTTGCATAGATTCTATTTTATTTGCATGTGGCTCAGACACCGTAGAAGTTCATCTGCTAGTCCTAAAAATATTCAAACTGATGAAACAGTTTGGTACTCAACCTTTCTTCAATGCAAGGCAAAATGCTAAAACAACAGGAGAAGACTTAATTTTTTAATTGCATGTTCAACTCCTAATATGATAAACATTTGAGTATCTTATGATCCTTACATTGTTTATTCTCCCAGCCCTGTCTGTAGGGTAGGGAGATACTGTCCTTTTTGCAGAGACACTCCCTGGTAATGTTTAAAGACATAGACAGATGGAAGACTTGCTATGTGGTGATAAACTGCCACAAGACTGCTATATTATGCATCTGCAGTAATTGTATGTTCTATTCTGTTCGTAACAAATGCAAGATAAATTATTTTACCTTATATCTGGAGTTATTTGTTTGTGTCTGAGCCCTGAAGTAAAATGGAAGTCATCTGTGGCCTTTGAAACAATCCAGGATGAAGAGATAAAGATGGCTTTGGGGTATTTCTGTTCCTTCTGCCTAGCGTCTCACAGAGACACCACCCAGAGGGTCTTTTCTATGCAGTGAAAAGAAGTACTTCTAGCTTGTAAACAGATCTTCCTTTTCATTTTTTTTTATTTTTTTTTAATCCTGAGGAATACAGCATTTGCGTTTTATTTATACTAATTTCAGAGTAGAGGAAAAAATAAGATATTTTTACAAGTTGTTTTTTTTTTCTTTTCTTTTTCTGATTGCCTGTAAGGTTTTGAGAGATACCTGTTCCTAAGTTCTTTTCTGAACTTACTGATATAGCTAACCATTTGTGTTCTTTGGCCTCTGTGATTATTTGGGGGAGGTGGGGGGAAGGTGTGAGCTCATTTAAACCCACTCTGATACTTGAAAAATTTGAATGTTCAGACCTGCTGTTAATTTTTAGCTGAGCTATATACAATCAGACTGTTCTAAAGGTCTCAGTCTTTGGGGTCTGATTTTGTTTGCTGGCTTTTTTATGTAAAGGCTCAAACTGTGGAGCAGTTTCTGTTGTATTTTGACAGTGTGTTCTTGTATAGCTGTTTGTGAGACACAGCAGTCAGGAGCCTGGACTGCACTAGATGTTTGGAGAGAGGTATAATTTTGCATTGTTACTGCTGTGAGTATAGCGTGCCTGTCAGATGAACTCTTCTTAAAGTGTGTTAGGAACTCATAGCTCCTTAGTGGGGAGAAATATTCCTAGCAGATTTCTGGTGGTCCACACCAGTCATAATTAACATATTTACTCATTCTTTCATACTTTTTTTTCCCCTTTTTTCTCTTTTTTTCTCTTTTTTTTTTTTTTTTTCTGACCAAGGGTGACCTGGCAGCAGAATATGTTGTATCACTAATGTGTCTGTAATGAGGCATGAGTTTTGGCCAATTGCTTTTTATGGTCCAGTCATTTTAGAATGATGTTCATGTAATTCCAAATTTTAGTGTTTTGCTCCCTTACCGTTAGTAGCATTTTGAAGTGGTGAATGTATGCTGTAATCTTTTTGAATTCTTTATCAGCAGGTAAGAGCAAGTTTGGGATTGTAATTCTGCCCAAGGCATACTACATTACTGTTTGTAAAACACTTTGAGATCTGATTTAGGATCATTTGCTGTGTAAAGGAAACTATTATAAATAAACATTCTATATTTTCTTTTTAATGATGCTTTTCTATTCCACTGGCTGTTGTTGTTAAGGTAGCAAGTTCTACCACTTCAGACTTAATTTGAGTAAGTATTCGTTGATGTTTCCAAAATGGTATTTCACAGGCATGCAAGTCAAAACATCTTATGTATATTCTCAATGGATTTGGGCAGAATATGAGTCTATGTCTAGGTCTGCCTCACCTGCCTGCCCACTGCTCCCG